CGTAAGTTTTTTTGTAAAATAAAAACTTTACCTCTCTTCTTAAAGGTTAGTCTCTTAATTCTTTTCTTATTTACTTATTACGTTATTCTTTCTACTATTTTTTATAGTTTATTATAAATTATTCTTATTTAGCGCTTCTTTTTCTTTATCTTTAGAGAAATTATAGCTATATATATTAAGAATCTATATATTCTAGCCTTATAGCTATAATATACTTAATAGAAAGTTATCTTTATAGTTCTCTATTTTACTATATTGTATACTAATTATGCTATAGATAGTAGCTTAACCTAGTTATCTTATTTCTAGTTAATATAGTTTCTTAGATATTCTTCTAGAGTTTAGTTTATCTATTCTATTTAGCTATTAGTCTATAGATAGAAGCTAGTTAATATTTAATTACTTATTTCTATTTAGTTAAGTAACGCGTTCTAGAACTTAGATATAAATAACTTATCTCTATCTATAGTAATTTGTTCTAGTATTCTATATTAGCTAAATAGTTATTAGCTTACCTTATAGGCTAGTTCTTTAGCTCTAAGAGTTTTACTAGTTACGTAGAAGTATATATACTTAGTAAATTAGTCTATAATTACTAGAATAGTATTATATTTTCTTTATAATATAGGTTTAATTAATCTAGGTAGCTTTATAATAAAGTCTATAGTAACGTATTACTATAGTACTATAGGTAGTTCTAGTAGTTATAGTAGTCTATATAGTTAGTACCTAACTACCTTATTCTATTAGTACTCTATATATTCTTATATTACTTTTATAACTTTTTTCTTTATTATAGAGAATCTATATTCTTACTATAGCCTCTTAAGAGTATGTTTAATTTCTTAATACCTATATATTATTATACTATAGAATTTCTAGAGAAATTTTATTTATAGCGTTTCTAGTACTTTCTATTATTCTTATTTATTAGGTAGTTCTAGTCTATTATTCTATTAGTCTCTAATTTCTATAATCTATCTAATCTATAGTCTATTATATTCTAGAGTTCTATCTAGTCTAGTATAGAGTATAGCTTTATATTTCTCTTTAGTAGTATCTACGTAGTTAGTTCTACGGCTAAGTATATTTATAACTCTATTTTTAGTACCTTTCTAGTATTAGATTATAAAGTTTAGTGTAGCTAGCGTTTCTACCTATCTAACTTATTATTAGTTTAGCGTTTTTGTTGTTATAAACGCTATAAGGTTCTTATAGTCTAATACTACGTTAATAAGATACTTAGCGCCTTCTAAGTATATTCTCTATTCTTTTATAGCTACTATAATAGCTATAAGCTCTTTATTATATATATTATAGTTAAGTTCTAGTGCTAAGAACTTTCTTAAGTAGAAGAAATATAGTTAGTGTTTACTATCTTCTCTAGGTTAACTAAGGCATGCCTCTAGAGCTTAGTCTAATATATCTATTTTAACCTATATTAGTTTGTTTTTATTAAATATTTATAGTAGTAGTATAGTAGTAAACGTTTATTTTAGCGTTTTAAATACTTATTACTATAGGTCTTTCTACCTAAACTCTTAGTTTTTTTTAGTAATCTTTATAAGTAGAGTAGTAATCTATAAATACTCTTAGATAAACTTTTAGTAGTAGTTTGCAAATTCTAAGAAGAATTATACTTCTTTTACTATCTAGAGTATAGGCTAGTCTAGAACTATCTAGACCTTATTTATTTCTATCTAAATTCTCTCTTAGGTTAGGCGAAATTCTAAGTAGCTAGTCTCTATATAGTAAAACTTACTCTTATTAGAGGCTATTAGAAGTCTATACTCTTTAAACTTTTATAGTATTCTTTATACGTAGTTCTTATATTCTTCTAATTCTTTCTTTAAGTATATAAGTACGTTGTCTAGATAGGCTATAGTAAATCTTTCTAGGTATTTATATAGAGCTATATTAATTATACTTTAGAATATTACTAGTATGTTAGTAAGTCTAAATAGTATAACTAGGTATTTATATAGATTTTTTCTTATTCTAAAGGCTATTTTCTATTTATAGCTTTCTTTAATCTATATTTAGTAGTATCTCTCTTAGATATTAAACTTTATAAACTACTATACTTCTATAAGCTAGTCTATAAGTTCTAAGATTATAGGTAGTA